CCCCGCCCCTGTACAGAGCTCCCCCCACCCCATCCGCTGCACTGGCCCCTCGCGGCGCCAGTCGCGCCCCGGAGCGCAGGCCGGCGCCGGCCCATTCTGTATGCTTCGAAGGTGTGACCATTCTAATAAACAGTATTATTATTATTATTATTATTACAACGAGGATTATTATTATTATTATTATTATGGAAATTATTAATAAAGAGTTCTTTCTTCAACCAGGATGGCTCGGGTTTTGACTGGGGGCTCTGGTGGGGGCACAACCCCGTGCAGAGAGCAGGGCTCGGGGCTGCGCCGAGAGGGGACCAGGTCAGGGCCAAGCTCGGGGTCAGGGGGCAGGCAGGTCCGGTGCTGGGCTGCCTCAGCCCGTTGCTCTGCCTTGCCCTGCGTGCGAGGTGCTGCCCTGTTCATCCTAGGGGAGCTGGGGAGCTGGGTAGGGAAGCCACGGGGCTGCCCGGGGTGGCACGCTTGGGCCACAGGCTGCAGCGAGACCCACGTTCCTCCAGCCATCAGCTCCCTTGTCTCTTGCTTTCCGGAGCTGGTGCCACCCCAGTGCTCTGCTGCAGCCCCAGCCCCTCAGCCTTTGCAGTAATTGCCCCTGTGGATCGTCTCTCCTTTGCATAAGAGGCCTGGGGAGAGCAGGTGGGTGCAGGGGGCTGGGCCCACAAGGCATGGGGGAACCGGGAGCAGCTGGGGCACGGAGCTGCTTTGTGCCTGAGCCAGGCTGGGGGAACGTGGCCAGCCCCAATGCGAGACCACGGGGTTTGGGGTCCTGGGCAGGATCCAGCCCAGCCTGGCCATGCCATGCAGCCTGGGAGCGGTGGCTTTGTGCTGGCAACAGCAGGCAGCAGCTCTGCGCTGCACAGCGCCCCGCCTGGGGCCACATGCCCGGCTCGGGGCAAGGCAGGCAGCGGGGAGCCTGACCAGGAGCCAGCTCCAGGAGGGAGATGCAAAGGCCTGGAGAGCAGGAGCCTTCCCGCTGCCTCTCTGCACCTTGTGCACAGGTGCTCCCCGCTCGCCGGCGCAGCGTTGTACTGCGGACCCCCGCCGACCCCTTGCCGCCAGCAGTGGAGGGGCTGGTTCTCGGGGCTGCTGGCAACAAGGCCTCGCTGCACCCCGGGTACCGTGGTGCTGGAGGGGGCCAGGCACTGACGCACTGGGGTCAGTGCAGGGCTTGGGGCTGCCACCACATCCCCCGCCTCTCCCTCGCCCCAGCCCACGGCAGCCACGAGGCAGAGACACGCAGGCTGCTCCAAGGCCACATTTACTGGGCTGGCTCAGGGGCTGGAGTACCCCAGCAGCAGGTGGCCCAACGCCGCCGGCTCCACCGGGAACCCCTCGGGCAGCACCGGCTCCACCAGGAACACCACGGTGCCGGACTGTCCCGGATCCACCACGGGCACCGGCACGTCCACCGCACGGTACAGGGGCGCGTACGCCAGCCCCAGCAGCCGCTGTGGCTCTGCGGCCCGCTGGTTGTGGATGCGGAAGCCGCGGGCCAAGCTGGCCGGGTAGGCCCAGCGCAAGGTGAGGCTGAGCAAGAGCTCGTCCGGCCCGGGACCCCGGCGCCATCGCAGCTGGGAGGCCTCGAGGTGTCGCACCAGGGGTGGGGAGGCTGGGATCACATCCGCATCCAGCACCTTGGAGGAGACGGTGCTCAGCAAGGGGATGCCAGCACCCCCCGGGCCACATTCTCCTTCTACCCTCTCCCCGGGATGCTCGTCTCACCCAGATCTCGCCGAGGCGGCAGGAGAAGGGGGTCTCGTGTGGGCCGGCCGGGCGGCGCGCCAGCACCAGGGAGAGCTCGTGCAAGGCACAGTCCTGCAGCTCCAGTTCGTAGCACCTGAGAGCAAGGGCACGGCGGGGGCGGGCCG